TCATGCTCTCTCTCTCTTTCTCTCTCTCAAATAAACAAATAAAATCTTAAAAAAAAAAAAAAATACCCTCAGGACACCTGGGTGACTCAGTCAGTTAAGCATCAGATTCTTGATTTCGGCTCAGGTCATCATCTCAGGGTCGTGAGACTGAGTCCTGTGTCCGGCTCCACCCTCAGTGCAGAGTCTGCTTGAGAGTCTCTCTCCTTCTCCCTCCTCCTCTCACCCTGCTCATGCACTCTCTCTCTCAAATAAATAAATAAAATCTTAAAAAAAAAAAAGACTATCCTCACTTTATTTTCCTCTCCGATTCTTGAACCCACTGTGATCGTGCTTTCATCTCCACAGAAATTGTTTGTAGCAAGGACACCACTGATCTCCATATTGCCAAATCCAATCTTCAATTCTCAGTCCTCATCTTATTTGACCTACTGGCAGAATTTGACACAGCTAATTAATTTTCTCCTCCCTGACACATTTTTCATCCTTTTGCCTCCTACAAACACCACTCACTCTTGGTTCTCCTCCTGCCCCACTGGTCCTCCTTCAGCACCTCCTTTGCAAATGCTCATCTTCACCCTGATCTCTAAATAAAATTAGCTTGCCTAAGGGCTTAAGTTTTTAAACCTTTTCTCTTCTCTATATTTCCCTCACTAGGCAACCACAGCCTGTTTAGACTTTAAATGTGATAGATAGATAGATAGATAGATAGATAGATAGATAGATAGATAGATAGATAGATATATATATCAACGCAGCCTGGCCCTTCTTCTCTGTACTCCAGACTCATACATCTAGCTGCCCATTTGAAATCTCCACTTACAGATACCTAATAGGCATCTCAACATTTAACATGGTCAAAATATAATCCTAGATTCTACATAAACACTTTAAAGTCTACTTCCCACCTCTACCCATCTGTCCCTTATCAGTATAAAACCAATTCCATCTTTCCAGTTTCACAGGCCAAAACTCAAGAGTCATTCCTGACTCTTCTTCTACTTTACTAGTCCTACCTCTGAAATATATCCCAAGTACACTGCTTCTCATCACCTCTGCCACTAGCCCCCAATCAAAGCCACCATGTCATCTCTTTCTTGTACTATTATAGTAAGCCTCCTAAACTAGATTCCCGGTTTCCACAAAACAGACCATCCATACAATAGCAAGGACAATTCTTTTCAAACCTAAGTCAAGTCATGTCACCTTTCTGCTCAAAATTTCTCATGACTTGCCATATCACTTGGAATAAAAACCAAAGTTGTTGGAATAGTCTACAAAGCCTCCTCATGATCTTGCTCTCGCTGCCTACCTCATCCACTACTCTTCCCCTTGTACACATCACTTCAGCTACACTGTCCTCCTTGCTGTTCCTCAAATACACTAAGCATATCCTGCTGCAGAGCCTTTGTACTTGCTGTTCCTCAACCTGAAAACCCTTTCCCTGGATATCTGTATAACCTCTCCCTTGCATTATTTAGGCTCAAATGTTACCTTATCAGGGAGACCTTTTCTTACTATCCTATATAAACTAGCACCTCCCTACCTATACTGTCACTCTCAATCCTCTTATCAGCTTTATTATTCTTAGCATCCATTACCACCTGATACAGAATACACAGGAATACCTCGCTTTATTGTGCTTTGCTGTATTGTACTTCACAGATATGGCATTGGTTTTTTTGTTTGTTTTTTGTTTTTTTATAAATTGTGTAGGTTTGGGCAGCTGGGTGGCTCAGTCATTAAGCGTCTGCCTTCGGCTCAGGTCATGATCCCAGGGTCCTGGGATAGAGCCCCGCGCATCGGGCTCCCTGCTCAGCAGGGGGCCTGCTTCTCCCTCTCCCACTCCCCCTGCTTGTGTTCCCTCTCTCACTGCATCTCTCTCTGTCAAATAAATAAGTAAAATCTTAAAAAAAAAAAATTGTGAAGGTTTGTGGCAACCTTGAATCAAACAAGTTCATTGGCGCCATTTTTCCAACATTTGCTCACTTCATGTCTCTATGTCGCATTTTGGTAATTCTTGCAATATTCCAAACTTTATTATTATTATTATTATATTTGTTATGGCTATCTGTGATCAGTGATTATAACCCACTGGATGGTTAGCATTTTTTAGCAGTAAGTATTTTCTAATTAAGGTATGTACACTGTTTTCTTAGACATAATGCTATTGTACACTTAATAGAATACATTACAGTATAAACATAACTTTTACATACTGGGAAACAAATTCATTTGACTCATTTTACTGCAATATTCATTTAATTGCAGTGGTCTGGAACCAAATCCACAATATCTTTGATGTATGCCTGTAATTATTTGTTTACTGTCTGTTTTCCAAAGTACTAAAACGTAAGCACCATGAAAGTAGCAATTGTAGTTTATTCGAAATGCAGCACTAGTGGGTAGTCCAAGATGGCAGCAAAGGAAGATCCTAAACTCACATCCCATGGACACACCAAATCTACTGCTACATATCAAACAATTCCCTCTGGAAAAGAATGAAAACTAGCTGAATAGCTCCTTTGCAACAAATGGTAAAAGGGCCACATCAAGATGGGAAGGAGAGGCAGGATGCAGTCTCTTCAAAACCCCACCCCTGGCAGGGGGACCCACAATCAGGAGGAATCTCACGAATCCAGATTTTCTCCCTGAGGAGTGAAGGGTTCATGCCCCACATCAGGTACCCCACTCCTTGGGAACTGTAACAGAGAGATGCACCCCCAAAACATCTGGCTTTGAACACCAACAGGGCTCACATCCAGGAGACCCAAAGGGCTGTAGGAAACTGAGATACTTCTCTTAAAGGGCTCACATGCAGACTCAGTCGCCCTGGAAACCAGCACAAAAGCAGCAATTTGAAAAGTGTCCAGACTATATGTGAAGAAGTTTCAGTGGCTAATCTTAAAACATCTATCAGAGAGGCAGGGGCCTGTCAGAACTTTCCAGGGATGGAGGCACTGGCAGGGACTTTCTGGTGCTCTCCCTCTGCCCTGATAGCACCAACAGGGCAGCCCAGCCTATGGCCGTGGGAAAGCTGTGTCTGCACCAGCCATGCGCTCTCCTGTGGCCTTGCTAAAGCTGGCAGGCACATGCAGTCTACACAGGGGACACTCCTTGATCACCTGCTCTGGTGGCCAGGGGGGTCTGCATTCCTGGGTCCAAAAGGGCTGTAACAATTGGAGAGAGACAGTTCTTGGCAGGCTATTGCCTCCAGGGCACCACACAGACAGCAGTTTGAAACACATCCCTAGTCTTTCTGTGAAACAGACCTATTTACTTGTCCCAGAGCTTCAGCCTGAGGGCCACACTTCACATTTGCCACACATCTGGAGGCTGTGGAGGTGCTTTCAGGGAAAGTAGGCCAGGGGACACCATCTTCACACTCTCCCTAAGCCTCACTACATTTTGCCAGTACCTCCCAGAAAGGAGCTTATACACTCATCTAAAGCCCTGATTTTTGCCAGTTGCCCAGAGGACACCTTTAGATCACCTGGTCTGAAGGCCAACTGGGTTTACAACTACAGTCGCACAGGACTACGTATTTTAAAACCTGCTGCCTGAGGGTCTGGCTTCCAATCAGCCTATAACTAGGGGCTGCCTGAGATCCACCCCCTTCAGAACACTGACAAGTCTTGGCACACTCTCAACAACTGGGACTTATCAAGAATAAATCAAGCTGCTTAGACAATCACAAAGGTTTCAGAGACAACCAAGAGCTAGGGCAACGTTGAAAGATAAGGTTCATCTCCTCCAGGAGGCCACTCTTTGAGGACTCATACATAGAAACAAACATAGAGTCAAGCAAACTGAGAAAACAGGAACATGTCCCAAACAAAAGAACAAGATAAAACCTCCCCCCAAAAACTTTAATGAAACAAAAAGCAGCACTAAGAAGAACACCTGGCATTTAGCCAGGTACATATTTGCTGAATGACTAAATAAATAATAGCTTAAGTTATTATGCTAAAAGTTTATAAAGATTAACTCATTTAATCATCAAAAAACTATGTGGAGGTACTATTAATATTCCAATTTTACCAATGACACAAAGACATAAGAGATTAAGTAACTTGTATGTCACATACCTTATAAGTGGTACAGTCAACCTCCTATCTATTAAATGAGATCAAGTTAGATCATACAAATGGACCACTTAACAAAATGTTTGGCACATTAAATACCTAGCACTTATGGAATACTTATTATGTGCCAGACATTAATGTAGGCTCTTTGTGTGTATTTACTTATTTAATTCTCATATTCTTCAATAAGTAGATACCATTAGTTCACTATTTTTTATTTATTGGGGCACCAAACCTAACTCAACAGAAATTACATAAAAGACACTGCTGTGAAAGAAATGGGACAAACTCCAACCTTTACTCGTCTCGGAAAACAGTTAACATGTGCTTAAAAAAATGTGTTTTGAAAGTTAGCACTGGAAACCAAATCAAAACGAACTGAATTCCTATCACATACAGACACACTCTTAACTGTATTTGTTAGCTTGTAGTTCTAGAAAGCCTTCTAAGATTCAAAGACAAAACAATCACAGATTTTCTTCATTAAAAAGAAAAAAAAAGCTACCCATTCCCCAAATATCTGGTTAGCTACTCCATATTGCATGGTATTGTTTAACATATCTTTTTCATTATAAGGAAAAAGTGAATTAAAGTAGATCTTTTTTCATATTTAAAACAGAACTTACTCATTTACATCAACCTGAAATCATCAAGTTTATGCACTGCAAATCAGCCTCTGCTTTAAAAGTCAGTTTTATTACCAAAAAATAAATTTTAAAATTACTGCACCTGAGAAAATAGCCAATTCCTTTATCCTTGAGTTAAAGTGAAAGCCAAAGGAATCATGAAAATGACTACATATAATTTCTTCAGCTCAACATAGCATTTATTTTTTAATTTTTTAGTTCCATCTATAAATACTATTCTATATTAATAATTAAAAATGAAACATTCTGGGTAAAGACCCTTAAAACTTACGGTGCAATAATGGCTCTAGCAGGTCTTTTTGTAGACTGTACTTGTGAGAGCCAACCTTCTAGCTGTGCATTCAGCTGCGGTCCTATAAAAAGAGAAAGAGGGAAATTGGAGTTAGCAGAGAAATGTACTATATATAACCACACTTGACACAAAGTCCTTATTGAACCTATCTGGGACTAAAATAGTTTAATGGGCAGTGGGATCATTAGTTTGGATGTTAATGTTTGAAACTTAACCAACTACTAAGCAAGCCATAGATAAGGCCATACACTGATTTATACAAAATTTGCTTTTATCCACTTACTTATTTACAACCATCTTCATTCCAGAACAACAATACGATTCTATAATTTGAGGCACTGTTTAAACAAAATAAAACAAGAAACAAAAGACTCTTGGCATATGAAAAGAAAATACCTGAGTGATTGTATACAGAGCACCAAAACTTGCCTTAATCACTAAAATCACATCCATGGAGTGATCACTCCCATACCCAAAACCTTTCCTTCTATCCACTCCAGCCCCTACTCTCGTGATCACATTGATAACCAGTGACTATGCCGTGTCAAAAATCTCAATTTCAAGCATCCCACTCTCCTCACTGCCTATCTTTCCAGTTCACTTCCAGAAATCTGCTCATTGCCAACAGACTTGGAGTTACTTTTCCCACTATCCTTCCTCTCTTTTCTTCTTCCCCTCTTACCCAGCCTGAGACTTGATGTTCCATCACTATAATCATTTCCTCACCTATGCCCTCATTCTTGCTCCTCTCTTCCTCCACCACAGTCAAATCAGTTAAAACCAACTTTCCACTTAACACAGTACCTTCACTTGTACAGATGAATGAGAAGACAAATGCAACCACATGAACTTTAAAATTATACCCATAAATTGCAGACCCTTAGCAAAGCTCAGAAATCATACCACATTAACCTAGTGAATTTGCTCTCCCAGCCTTAAGATAATTACTTCATATAGCTTCTCATTTTACCTTAAAGCCTCATCCCCCTCTCACTCCCAGTAGATGATCATGCTTTTTCATTTTGTCAAGGAAAATCAGAAGATGGCCAACCATCCTGGCTTGGCCAGGACTTTCCCAGTTTTAGCACTGAAAGTCCTGCACCTTGGGAAACCTCTTAGTCGCAGGCAAACCTGGACGTTAGTCACCCTAAATTCAGAAGAGAACTACTTCCTCTTCCTACCATTTATTCTGTCTTCTCTCCTGTGTCAACACATTGACCTTACTCCTAATCAAAAGTCAAACAAATTCCTTCTGCACTGGGTCCCAATGTTTCTCTTCTCAAGGACTCTACTCCTATACCTGTCCCAGTCTCCTGCACTAACTTGTCCCTTTTACTAGATCGTTACCATTAGCATGCAAATATATAATATAAGCAGACTGATTTCTCCCCAACTACCACCCATTTCTCTGGCCCCTTTTTTTCTCTAGCTCTCTTTTTTTAAGCATTTAATCATAAAATATTTAAATGTTACAAAAGAATCTAGATAATAATAAAATAAACATCCATGCATCCACTACCCAAATAAATTAAATTTTAACATTCTTCTTTACTTAAGATCTTCCTTTATTAAGAAATAAAATATTACAGACACACCTGAAAACCTTGCTGATCCCATTATACATGTCCCTCCTCAGAGGGAAATCAAAATCACTTACTGATTCTGGTGTTCATCATTACATTATTATACTTTTACTAATGTATATATCCATAAAATATGCATTGTTCTGCATAGGTATTATTCTACATGTTTTTAAATATTATATAAATATACTGTGCATGTTCTTCCATAATCTGATTTAGTACACATTATTGATAACAGGTACTCATGTTGATTTTGTAGCTCTAGTTCACTCACTTTCAATGCTGTATTATTCTGTGTGAATATACCAAAATTTATCTATTCATTCTTGTCACAGACACTTGGTTGTTTCCACTGTTTCACTGTTAATATGCAATGTTACAAGTCTCTTATAATCATGTATTAAGAGTTTTTCTGGGGGCCGCCTGGCTGGCTCAGTCGGTTCAGCGACTAACTCTTGATTTCCACTCAGGTCATGATCTCAGGGTCGTAGGATGGAGCCTGTGTCAGGCTCCATGCTCAGCGGGGAGTCTGCTCAGGATTCTCACTCCCCCGCTCTTTCTGCCCCTCCCCATCACACTCACTCGCTTCCCACCCGCACCCTCTCAAATGAATAAATCTTTTTTTTAAAAAAGAGTTTTTCTGGGATTTAACTACAAATAAAAGTACTGGATCATAGAGTATGCATATCTTCACCTCTACCAGAACACTGCAAATTGCCCACTAAAGTGGCCAGATCAATTTACCCATCAGTGGAAAGGCATAAAAAATGAGAAGTTTAATTTTTCTTGTTAAAAATAAGGGAAGAATGGGGCACCTAGCTGGCTCAGTGGAACATGAGACTCTGGATCTCAGGGTTGTAAGTTTGAGCTCCACGTTGAGCTTCATGAAGCCTACTTAATAAAATAAAATAAAATAAAAAGGAAGGAAGAGATACCCCCACATTCTTCTTAAAGCACATTCTCTAGAAAACTTGTAATTGTAAATTATTTCTCCATCCCTTTGAAATATATGTAAATCTTTTTAAAAGTTAAATAAGCTTCTAGGGACCCCAGCTGGCTCAGTCAGTAGATCAGGCGACTCTGAGTTCAAGCCCCATGCTGGGTGCACAGCTCACTTTAAATACAGCTTATTTTAAATAATAAATAAGTAAGTCAGTAAGCAAGCCAGCAATCAAGCTAGCAAGCAAGCTTCTAACCAGCAACCCAGGACTCTGTAAAATGTGATTTGCCCCAAAGGAAATAGCACCCTCTTTCTGCCAGTTTTGTGGGAAGACAGGAACCTAATAACTAGCCGGCCACCTAGCTCCCAGCTGCAAAATTACCTTCCTCTCATAAGAACACAAGTTTATTTTTAGCCAGTTACAAATACATACGGTCACCCCAATTACCAACTGATTTAAAATGAACTATGTGTGAGAAATGTTGCTATCAAGCCCTCTGACTTGAGCACTACTTACAATTTATCTTGAGAACATGTATGTAATGGGTTGTATCTGGCCATATAAAGGGTGAGCTCTCTTTAGATCTCTGAAATCTCTTAGCAGATTGACTGTGATGTGCTTCACATTGTGGCTCAATGCTTATTTTCTTTCTCTTCTGCCTCTGAAGAGAGGTTTTTCTGAAATGGAGGTTTTGGTTTAAATTATATTTCTCCAACATCGGCAATGGTTAAAAATTCCCATTTCCCCTCATCCTTACCAATATTCGATACTGTCAGAATTTTTAATTCTTTGGCAATATGATAGGTATGAAACAGTATACCCTTATTTCTTCTAATTTGTTTTTCCCTGATATCCACTGAGATTAAACATCTACTGACTTGGATATCCCTCTGCATATATTTAGGACTATAAATAGAAACAAGTCAAGTTTATAATGAACAGCCCATCTATAAAATGCCAAAGTACAAAAAAGTTCTGATTTCAGCAATGTAGTTTATTTTAAAAACTTAAATTTAAGAACAATTCCAAGAAAAAATGTATTACATAACCTCATTAGTAACTCAAGGAAAAATATAGTTCAGATTTTCAGTGTAAATTTTTAGCTGACGAATAAACTTTGTATTAACTTAAAATAAGTATTGCTCTAAATATTTCCAAGGAAGTTGACAAAACAAACTGAATAGTGGGTAAAAGCAAAGAATATATTATCTCCCAATTTAGCCACTCTACTGCCACCAAATTCACTGATTTTTAAGCACTAAATCAAGGTCTTTTAGCAGTCCTTCTATTAAAAGGACAAATTTCCTCAAGGAAAGGTAAAAGCTAAACTCCAAGTTTCTTAATTATCTTTGAATAAGACAACTGAGCATATATGTTTATTATGGTTGCTTAACTGTTGATCTATAAAGTATCAAGTAAAAAAAAAGGTCTTTTAGCAGTCCTTCTATTAAAAGGACAAATTTCCTCAAGGAAAGGTAAAAGCTAAACTCCAAGTTTCTTAATTATCTTTGAATAAGACAACTGAGCATATATGTTTATTATGGTTGCTTAACTGTTGATCTATAAAGTATCAAGTAAAAAAATGAATTTGAGTTCTTCCAGAGAGGCTGATACTTAGCAAAATGGTATCCTTAACACATGAAGATGACGAACAAAATATGCTTTGTGTTTCAAATACCACTGGATTTGAAGGCACACTGATGAGTGGAAAAATCAAAGTATTGTTAAATCCTAGCAAAACTAATGGCTGTGTGATCTTGCCCTGAGAGGGATAAATGGACATTTACTTCTTTGGAAAAGATACTAAAAGTAGGTTCCCAAAGGATCAATACTCAGTTATTTCCTTAGGAAACAAACAATAAATAATGGGCTATATTTACTATAATGCAACTTAGTAACACTTCTGTTTCTATCCTACTTGAGTTAAACAATTTTACAAGGAAGTTTACTCTCATAGTGACAAAACTATAGAGATATTAAACATACACACACATACACACCCCTCCTCAGTCCTGCTTTTCCTATGCAACTTTTTTTTTTTTAAGATTTTGTTTATTTTGTCAAAGAGAAAGAGAGTGCACACAAGCAGGGGGAGCAGCAGAGGGAGAAGCAGGCTCCCCGATGAGCAGGGAGCCCGACAAGGGGCTCGACAAGGGGCTCAATCCCAGGAACCTGGGATCATGACCTGAGCTGAAGGCAGATGCTTTAGACTGAGCCACCCAGGCGCCCCTCCTATGCAACTTCTTAACAGAACCATTCTAAGATATGTAATGAAGTAAGGCAAAATGGTTTTCTACACTTTTGTTTGGTCTGCTGTTCCTATTCTTCTTTGCAAACAAAAAATGTTAGTGGCCTGCTCACTCTGAACATAAGTCATGTGTTCTGAGGCGCCTGGGTGCCTTCTCCTTCTCCCTCTTCTGCTCCCCCTGCCTGTGCTCTCCTGCTCTCTCTCTGTCAAATAAATAAAAACCTTTAAAAAAAAAAAAAAAGGTCATGTGTTCTATAACCTCTTCTCTTCTTCTATTAAATAAATTAGCACATCATGGGCTTAACTATGACCAATAATGTTTTAATGTCACAAATAACATTTGCTTTCATTTATTAATTGAATAAATATTTACGGAACACCTATTTATGTGCCAAGAAGTGGAATGAATGCTGTAGTTATAGCAATAAAAAAGACAGATGCAATACCTGCCTTCATGGAGCTTCTAACTGTCAGTGTCCCAAATACAAAGAATGGCTGAAAGATAAAAATTTCAGACACCAGGACAAGCTAAAAAAGAGACATTTTTGGTTAGAAGAGCCTTCTAGTGTTGCTCAAAGTATCCCAAATATATAAAGAATGAAAAACAACCATAATTTTTTTTTACCATTCTTTTTTAAGTGGTACCTGATTATTAACACAGTAAACTTAATTCCATGAGATTTGTTAAGGCAAAGTAACAAGAGACAAAGCAGAAGCAAAAAATACAAATCCAAACAAAAGCACGCTGTCAGCACCTAGTATTTTGTTGGCAATCATTCTGTGAAACCTGTTCAAACTAAAAAAATTAACCTGTAGTCAAAAATAATAAGATAGGGGCGCCTGGGTGGCTCAGTCAGTTAAGTATCTACCTTCGGCTCAGGTCATGATCCTAGGGTCCTGGGATTGAGCCCCCTGTTAGGCTCTCGGCTCAGCAGGGAGTCTGCTTCACCCTCTCCATCTGCCTGCTGCTCCCCCTGCTTGTGCTCTAATAATTAAACAAAATCTTTTTTAAAAAATAAAAAATAAATAATTTATGCTAGACTTTTTATAACAGTGGCTGCTGGATCTCTGAATTTCACAAGCCAATAAAATTTCAAAAAAAAAATGGGGGGAACCAACACAGGGGTGCCACTTTTTTTATTTTACTAAGAAAGGACACTTACAACATATCAACCATTTATCTATGATCACCATGACTTCATAAAATAAATAACACCAAAAAGTAAGATGAGTACAATTTTAAAATAATCTCAGCCCTTTAAACCGAATAAATTAACCACATTTCATTGACTCCAAGATACCAGCAGTATCAAGACGCACCATTATTTTATGTACCACTAAGAAAGACAAAAAAAAAACTCCCAATTAAACTAGGACATATGGCTACTTATCACTTAGAATTTTTTATTTTTTATTTATTGGAAAGGCTCTTTTCAATTTATTTAGACATGAATTATGATACTCATGTTTATATATTAAAAAGCAAAATAAATTCAAAGTATTCTTGGTATTAAGGAGGGCATGGGTAGTGATGAGCACCGGGTGCTATATGCAACTACTGAATTGTTGAACCCTACATCAAAAACTAATGATATATGGGATGCCTGGGTGGCTCAGATGGTTAAGCATCTGCCTTCAGCTCAGGTCATGATCTCAGGGTCCTGGGATGGAGCCCCACATCAGGCTCCCTGCTTGGTGGGGAGCCTGCTTCTCCCTCTCCCTCTGCTGTTCTCCTTGCTTGTACTCTCTCATTCTCTCTGTTGAATAAATAAATAAAATCTTAAAAAAAAAAAAAAACTAATGATACACTATATGCTGGCTAATTGAACATAATAATAATAAAAAAAGAGAGATTCTGAAAAATGTCTTCAAATTCACAATCCGATATCTAAATTGCTTTT